CACTAAAAATCAGTTGAAACTCCCAAATCATAGATCTAATAACTAAATCTATGATGACAGAATCTTTTAAAGCCATACGAGCGAACTCCAATAAACTCGCCGCCGTACCTGCAAACATCACCGACAAAAATGTCGCCACACCAACGAACATTACCAGGGAAGTCGCCCCAATACCAGCGAATATCCATAAGGAAGTCGCCGCCATACCTAACTAGTAGAGGAGATTATAATCTCACTTATTGAAAATAAATTAAATAATAATAAAAAGTGTAAGGATCGGGACAGAATTATCTCCCCCATCCTTTCATGGTGGAATGATAGGGGAAAAGATGGAGTTTTTTTTTTTTTTTGTTTTAGGGTTTTAGGATTGGAGAGGGAGAGAGGGACGGCCGAGAGAGTTCTCAGATTGACCATTTATTGATCAAGTTAACAGGGACTTTTTCGGTAATTTTAATTCTCAAATTTTTAAAGATACTAGAAAAAAAAATTGATTAAAATAATATTGAATATACTATATTTATTTGGTAAGTAATTATTTAAAAAAATAAAAAAAAAGAATATAATAAATAATTCAAAAAGGTCACTTTTAAATTCAGTGGTCTTCAAAAATATATTCCTCTAGAAAAATACAACTTCACAGTTTTCTTCACATTCTTACTTTTTTTTTTGAGAAATAAAATTTATTGATTTACTGGAAACCGTCCAGCAGCGATTGATAAGAAAAGATACAGCCAGAAAAACACAACTTACAATTGACCATAATCATAGTGCCTTTGTTGTGTTTCATATAGATAAACCTATATAGATCTACTCTATCAAGCAGTGGTTGTATCATGTGCCGAAACAAAGATACAACACTAAAAATCAGTTGAAACTCCCAAATCATAGATATAACAACTAAATCTATGATGACTGAATCTTTTAAAGCCATATGAGCGAACTCCAACGAACTCGCAGCCGTACCTGCAAACATCACCGACAAATATGTCGCCGTACCAACGAACATTACCAAGGAAGTCGCCCCCATACCAGCGAAAATCCATAAGGAAGTCGCCGCCATACTGAACTAGTAGAGGAGATTATAATCTCACTTATTGAAAATAAATTAAATAACAATAAAAAAGTATAAGGATCGGGACAGAATTATCTCCCACATCCTTTCATGGTGGAAAGATGGGGGAAAAGATGGAATTTTTTTTTGTTTTAGGGTTTTAAGGTTGGAGAGGGAGAGAAGGGCGGCCGAGAGAGTTCTCAAGTTGACCATTTGTTAGTCAAGTTAACAGGGGCATTTTTTCGTAATTTTAATTCTCAATTTTTTAAAGATACTAGAAAAAAAATTGATTAAAATAATATTGAATATATTATATTTATTTGATAAGTAATTATTAAAAAAAAGAACACAATAAATAATTGAAGAAGGTCACTTTTAAATTGAGTGGTCTTCAAAAATATATTCCTATAGAAAATTACAACTTCACAGCTTTCTTCACATTCTTACTTTAGTATATGTAATCTCTCTTAACAACACATCCAAATTTAGTTTCTAATCTTTCAATATGGGCAGCACGTGCAAACAATAATATCTTGTGTTTACATAATGAACAACCTAATTTTGCAGACTTTAAAGGTAAAATATATAATTGCGTACAACAATTTTTACAGTTTTGTTACTTTAATCTTTAACCTTTTTTTTGTTTTGTTTTTTGTTTTTAGAATCTCTACTTTTGGTAGTTTTATAATCTCTATACTTTTATTACAGATTATATGATACAAAAGTTTAATATAATAATATCTAAATCCTATCATGTAACGCACGGGGTAAATACTAGTAAAAAAAATAAAAATAAAAGAAAAAATCAGATCATCAAGTCGGTGATTTGATAATATATATATCCAAATTGGAAGTTCAAATAGTTTTGGAAGCCGTTGATGGAACTTCAAAATCTTGGCTATGTGTGTTGTGATACGGTTTGCGAAAGAAACTGGTGTATTTTCTTTATTATGTGCATTCTAGAATCTTCTCAAAAGAGAATAATGTATTGATAGTTGTTAAAATAAAAAATGAACTTAAAGATGAGGACGAAAGAAAAGGCAAGAAAATGGTTACACCTATGATTCTATTTGTCTCTACGATGTGGAGTCTGTTGATGAATGGATTAAAGGAAATAGAAGAATCTTGCTTTATGAAGATGATTTTTGGCTGGACATTCACGAATGCATTTTTCAAAGTGAGTAACAGGAAAAGAAAAAGAGGTAAACTGTTACTAGATTCTAAACCATCTTTCTTTTCTAATGTTAAGTTAAACATACATGTTTATGTGTTTACATGACCAAGGAATATGAAGAGCGATAGGTATAATATTAAGAGTAAAGTGATTATTGAAGAAGATAAATTTGTACGAGAAATTGAACTGATTGAAGAAGGAATATCCGTAGCTTTTGATGATGAAGAAGTAATAGTGGAAGTGCCGGATGACCTTTGCTCTGTATGTGTGTGTGTGTGTGTTTGATATGGGCGATGACTTGTAAATTTGATGAAGTGAACCTTTCGAGGATTTGGTTTTTGTTGGTAAAATTGCAATAGGGAGAATTTTGTTTTTGGGTAGACTAGTAGGTGGTTGTGACATGTAGTTAGAATCTCCCTTCTTTTGGTCCTAGCTTTTGGAATGATGGTTTGAGGATGAATGATCATACTTCAATTTTCGCCAAATCTAATTGTTACCAAGAATTCAATATATTTTTGTAGGTGTTGATAAGTTCTATTATGTTTTCAGTTTCAGGGACTATAAACTCAAGATATTGACCTCTATATTGTTATACTGGCTTGTAGTAATTAATCATTGAATTCTTCCTTAACAAAAGAGTGTTGAATTTCATCAATATTATTACCATATGTTACATATCTTGCAATACAAAATACACCTTTTTTGAATTTCATCATTATTACCTTATGTCAGACGGATCTTCGACGTATATAAGAACTTGGACAATTGAGACTATCTTCTCAATTCTTAGTGTAGAAGATTTTCCGTATCCATTTCTCCACGTTTGTGTCTTCTTTTTTAAATTTTTCTGGGAAAGTGGATGTTTGCCTCAGATTTGGAGAGCGAAGTCTTCCGAGAAGAAAAGAATAATCTTTAAAGATTGAAATCACAGAAATCAGAAGTTAATTATGTCACTACAACAAAATGGGTCTATTAATATCCTTATTATGGGATACTTTTCTTCAAAAGGATCCTATTATCATATAATAGGACTTTTTTTAACAAAGTGTCCCATTAAAATTTGAGTAAGTACCCTTAACTTAATAATACACAATTGTTAAGTGTTCATTTAAGTTTTGTGTCATATTAGATTATTTAATAGGACACTTAGTGTATTAAAGTATAGAGCAATTATACAGATAGTGAAAAATTATAGTAAATTTAGATAGTGACAAATGAAAAGACAAATACACCACACACTTACTAAACATTTCTAGTTATTAATCAGGGGTAAAAATGTAATTTTTAGAAAAAAACTTCAATGGGAAAGTGGCAAAAAAAAAAACTAAGGCCATGATTAATCCATATCAATCACTATGTTTTGTCACTATTTTAGTCACTATATATATATATATATATATATATATATATATCATTTTCCTAAAGTATAACATGAATCAGTCACTTCATAATGTCCTATTACATGTAATGTGACATTTAAGAATGTACTATTGCAAAATTCATTGAATATGTGGAAATACATACAAATGAAATTGGTTTAACTTGGGAGTTTCATATAATAAAACAGTAATTATTTCATTATAGAAAAAGAAATTTGATAGTAGAAAACAAAGGTTTTAAATTTTTATTATTATTATTATATATATTAAAGGAAAGAAATATAATCGACACGTGTCGCTCATTGAGACCATCAAGTCTCAATTAACATGTGTTATTTGCTAATTGGTTGATCATTAATAAGTTAAAATTTTTTGTAAACAGTTAATAAATTATTTACTACTCCCTCCATCCCACAAAAATAATCCAATTTAATAAAAAATCTTGTCCGAAAAAAATAGTTCAGTTTAACAAAAGAGAAAATTCATTGAATTGAAATGACTTAAATAGCCAAAAGAGTAGTGGTATGAAAAACAAGGTCCACTTACTTTGATTTTTATTTTTTTTAGTTTTCTCTCATTTTTTCAAATGATCATATCTTTTAATATATGAATAATTAAAAAATGTGTTAAATATCAAATCTACGTAACGAGATCTTTCCATCAAGATCCATTGTTAATATTTTTTGAAATAAAAATTTTGATCAAATTTAAGTTGTAAAATAAATACATATGTAGTTAACTGTTATAGAAATAACTAGAAGGGGCATTAGTGGAAGTTAGGGGAATAAAATGAGTTGTACATTTGGTATGTTGACCAAATTAAAAAAGTTGTACAGTTTCAAACTGGACTATTTTTGTGAGACGGAGGGAGTATATAAGATTTTTAAAGATATTACAAATTCCTGATTGTGAGTTTGAAAATGAATATTTTTGAAAATTGCTGAGAAACTCCCAACTTCAAAAGTTCTTTCATTTACGAGTTTAAACTTTCAACCTATTGTCATTTTGGCCCTTAAAGTTCTATTTGTGTGCTATTTAGTTTTTAAGTTTATCGATTTTACATTTTCAAGGACGATTAATTGTGTCTCATATTTTATTAGAACTACATCTAATCCCCAAAGTCCACTTGTCTATAAAAATAGGTCATATGCATCTAGACATAATTTACGCATTTTTTAAATATATTTTTTAAACCAAACATAACATTAGTTAGTGGTAACAATTTTTATTATACAACTTTTGAAAATCTTTGTTGTAATATTTTTTACCAGATCTTACAAATATACCTCTCATAAATAATATCAATACCTCTCATTTTGATCTAAAACTGATTAATCAAAAAAATATTACAATTTTAAGAAATATTAGTAACTACATTTTTTTAAGAGAATAAAAACGGTATATTTGTAACTATATTATCTAATCAATTCTTTTGAAATATAAATTTTCAACATTGACAAAGAAAGTAATGGAAGAGAACACTCTTTGCCCATTAGTTTCATCCACGTCAAGTGAGCTTTGATTTTAGAGCTGCCGCATACTCAAGGGAAAAAAACTCAAAAGGAAAAAAAATTCAAGAAGAAAAAACTCAGTCCTTCTTCTCCATTCGTGCTGCCCGTTCAGCCGCTGCCGGTCGTCAATACAAAATACGATACATATCATATAATTTAAAATTTTCAATGTACGATGTTTATAAGGATTCGAATTATGTACCCAATTGATGATAGTCAAATGAATAATTGTATGTTGGAGTTGCAACGGGAGGTTCTCTTCTTGGCTGCACAGTGTACCGGATGTTATTGGGGCTTCCACAATGCCCCAATATTCTAGGTTCTGTTCCTTCTGGTGGCGCAAGAAAAAATAAATAAATAAATAATGAAATAAAATAAAAAATGTTTTGTTGAATCAATTCCGAATATCATTCACATGCCATGAAGACCACTAGACCAGTTTGGCTCGACTCTTGGTTCCATCCACAGTTCCTAAAGAAATATGCATTTCGATTTTCCATTAACCATTCCGCAATTGTTAACAGGGGTTTCTACATTACGGCCATTGGTTGAATCAATAAGATTGCCGAACAATCCTGGAACAAAGCTACGGATTCTCCATTACGGATCACGTGGAAAACAACACAAGGCCATGGAAAGCACTAGAAAAATGGATCATGTTGGACCCTTATGGATACCAGGACTTGCTTGTGGTACACCCTTTCTGCGGATGATGATTGATGAATCATTGGTCTCCCAAGCTAATGCCCAGGCTGGAAGGCGTTACGGAAACTGTTTCTTTCCAGTCAGCAAACAGGCAAGACTATTACAGTATGAGTGACGCCGCATACAGAGTAAATCTTGGTTGCAGGGGTGGTTACTCTAGTGACATGCAGGTAGCGATAGGATAGCTAAAGAAATAAGTGAATGTCATTTCATCAGCTTTGTGGCCAAAGGCGAACAGAGGATCTTTCTTTTAGCTCTTGTTTGAAAGATAACATCTAACACACTCTATAAATGTTTAACTATCGCCGGCAGATCAATGTGTAACTAGGCAATTCCTAGGTATTTCTGCGGCAATCACTTACAGTTCTTTTCATCAAGTCTTATTTTCTGTACATGAAAATAATTTTCTTACAAATCTATTATTATGTCATTCCAAATCAGGGGAAAATTATAATCCACTCGTGAATGATACGTCTTAGGGGAGGCTCATGTTCAAGAGAAGATAACACAAAATCAAAGAAAGATTAATATCAAAAGCTCAAAGGTCGTGCCAGCATAAATGTTAGCACGGGGAAAGTCGGGACACAGTACAGCTTTAAAGTTGTGTCTTTTCTTTTGTCTTGTATTAGGAATTCATTTCGCAAGTCATACTTAAATAACATGATAAACAGTTAAAAGCAACCAATAAAAGAAAGCTCCCGAACAGAATCATGCCGAAACATTCATTTACTTGTAGATTTCTATGATACCTAAATTGCCGGCCTGACATACCAGTCTCAAGTCTCCGAATCCAGCACCAACAGCCAATGCCCGAACCTCATTTTCTGATCTTTCTTTTCCTCCCGGATTTATTGTCATCATGAGCACATCAGACTGGCAAATACCTTTCGAAGCACTGCTCGTATCAGGTTTTGCAGGTAGAATCAGATCACCAACTATTACTTTCCCATTATCTGAAAGAGCTTTGTAGCAGTTCTTCAGCAATTTCAAGCAATGATCATCACTCCAATCATGAAGTATCATCTGTCAAAAGTTACCAATCACGTTTCAATAAGGTGCAATGCGTAGTTAAGTACAGCAACGCTGTTACTAATTTCACAAAACCGCTTTTGTAAGAAGTAGTGTTTTGGATTGTTGTGACCTAAAACACCACCTTGAGAGCATAAATTCTAGCCATTGCAGAAAATAAATTACAAAACACTTCTGCCTTTGCACTGAATCTAGCCAGCAAACAATAAAATCCACGATACACATTAACATGGTAAGTAACACTAGTGATAATGTGAATGCTGACAAAAATTAATCTACATTAGTTTCACTTGCAAGGGTTTAGGAGCATATATTATAGAATCAAACCATAAACTTTACGAACAATGGAGGCTACCTTCATAAAAATGGCATCTCCACCTGGAACACTTTCAAACATATCTCCCCCAACGTGCACCACTCCTGCATCACAAAATAACAAATTAATGCTAAATGCAGCAGACATGCATGTTAATATGAGACTTTAACTACTGCACCTTTTTTTCTCCACGCTAACACTATACCAAATAAATGCATTGTAGAATGATGGCAACACATGAATTATAAACGCAACTATACCAGGATACGATGGTGCAGCTTCAACTACGTGTGGTAAATCAAAATTAATGCCCTTGATGGAGGGATATTTTGATATAATCTTGTGGAGTGTTATTCCAAGGCCACCGCCAACATCAACCAATGTATGAAGCTGTTCAAACCCCTTATAATGATCCAATATTTCATTCATAGTGATGGCAGTTGGACCAACCATTCCCTTGTTGAACAGCTCATTGAACCTGGGATCCCGGCTAGGGTAATCAAATGCATGGGTCCCATGGACTCTATTGAACGGGACATCTCCTTCAATAACAGCATTCCCGAGTTCATACCTAAAATAATCAAAGAGAAAATTCGCAATCAAAACATCTTTCAGTTGCAAGATTTTCACTAGCTAAAACACTTATTTCGTAGCAAATGTCATGTGCAGAAAGAAAATACCTTCAAACGTAACATATCATTGCCAAAACATGAGCTGTTATATTCGTTGATGTATGCTTTTCGCTCCAGAAGGAACCATATCCTATTTACGACTCATTGGGCAGATATAATTTCAATCGATTAGCTACAAAAAAGCCTTCAGACATTTTTTTTTAACATACATGGCTAGTTGTACAAAGTCCTGTAATGCACCTTTAGGTTTTTTAGTTATGAAGCTATAAGCTCATTATTGTCACTGTACCCAACCTGCTAAGAGAATTAGTTTCAGAAACAATATTTGCGCCTTTACAAATAGGTATACACATTCATTTGCCCCCACAAATTTGCCAATTTTCAACTCTGTTTTCCCTTTAGCTATCAGAAAAGATTTCAAGCTAATGCACATTTATTGTCATTGCAAATTAGTTTCAGAATCAATATGTGTTCCTTTGCAAATATAGATACATGTTTATTTGCCCCACAAATTTGCCAATTTTCAACTTGTTTTCTACTCTGCATCAGAAAAGATTTCAAGCAAATGCACAAACTCTTCCAAAATGTCGAAAATTTGAAACTGATTAAAAGGCATTCAAAACTCACCAAAATTTCCAAACTATAACATCAGCCAACTTTTTATTGTCAAAATAAACACTTCAAGAATCTGTCAATTAAAAGCTCAAAGTAGAAGATCACTCACCAACTATCCATCAAAACTTTATCATGGAGCAATTCCACTAGAGGCGAAATCGAGATACCATTCTCATCCGGGACAAAGAACTCCCCAACTGAGGTCAACCCATAAACTCTTTCACATCCCGCACCATCCTCGGCAGCAACTTCATCGTAAGTGAGAACAGAGTAGGTACTCAGTAAACGAAGCATTCTGTCGAGCATGGAAGCTGCACCCGGATTTTGGGTATCCAACTGGGCTGAAATCTGGGCTGGTGATAGTTTCGATCCATGGCCAGCTTTAGCAATGATTCCAAACAGATTCAGCTTCACTGCGTTGTATAAAACCATAGGCAGTGAAGCAGATGTGACGAGTTGCATAGCGTAGGAGAAATTCTCGCCCTTTTCTCCTCCTTTGCCATCAACTGTAGAGTTCTCCATCGAAAATACTGTAGATTGGATCGATGTATCTTTCTGAAAAATGGCTGGTAATGAATTATTGGCTTTAGATTGTTTTTGTAAAGGAAGATACCCATCGTTTTGTCGTTGTCGGAAAGTGGCTGGTATGGTGGTAGTTGGTGATCTACTCCTGAAGCAGGATAAACTATTCTATGTTGGGTCCTTTACAACAGTGAAATGAAATAAATAGTACGGAGTAGTATTAATTATTGCTGGGAAATAATAAATATTTTGTTTTACCATTTTTTTCTAATGAGGAAAAAGGATGTGGATCGGCATTCAATAAGTTACAATATCGTATAAGCACAAAAGAGGTGATGTAACTTTGTAACGTTATTTTAATCAAGAATATTTGACTGCATTTGTACCTTATAAGACTGCTTCAGGTATTTTACTTGTTCAATCTAAATTATAAAATTTCAATTTGACACTTTCGTTTCAAAACAGAGAAAACTACACAAATACAAAACTACCAGAAAAGAATCCGAGATGAAAATGACCAGGGAAGAAAACATTTTTTGTTCCCTTTCTGGTCAAACAAAATGGAGTTCTTCCTTCAACTTCAATATTGGGTCCAGCCTTGACATTTATGTTTCAGGGAAGGCTCAAGCTCCATATGAAAGAAAGATAACCAGAAACACAAAAGAGAAGAGATTAAACGAATGATCAAAATCAGGAACATTGTTATTCTAGGGAAAGTCTGGAAACTGTACCCCTTTTTATGTTCTTGTTTGCCTTATTTTCTTTGAATCAAGCCTGATTTACACTTGAACAGAGTAACATGCCAAAAGACAACCTCATTTACTCATAGTTTTCAATGACTCCTACATAGCCGGCTCGGCTTGCCATTCTAGAGATTCTGAATCCAGCACTAACACCCAGTGTCCGAATTTCGTTTTCTGATCGCTCTTTTCCTCCACCAAGTATAGTCATCACTAGGACATCAGTTTGGAAAAAACCTTTTGTCGGGCTGCTAGTATCGAGTTTCGCAGGTGGAATCAGATCAACGACAACTACTTTCCCGTGGTCTGGAAGAGCATTGAAGCAATTCTTCAGCAATCTTAAGAAATGGTCACCACTCCAGTCATGAAGTATCATCTGTACAATTCAAGTTCAAATCATCTAGACTATTCTGAGAAGAATTCACAGAAAGAATCAGAAGTTGATCATCCAGGATGAGGTTCTGATTTTAGTTGTACATATATTAGTTCTAGTACAGAGGGTCTTTTGTGTAAATATGAATAGTACTGAGGCAAATATGTAAATAGTAGTTAGCAGTAGTTATTTTTAGACAGCAGTATATATCTTTAATGTATTTTCCATCTTTGTACAGATTTTGATACATAATATACACAGAATATACTTCACAAAACCCGTTCTTCATGAAACCCTAAATCCAAACACAATTTTCTTAGCTTTTGCTTCCGCTTGCTTTTAATCTGATAATCAAGATGGTATCAGACCAGGTGTAAAAGCCTGTTTTATACCTGAATTATTACGAATTAGTTAAATCGTTTTAGTTCTTGGAGTTCTTGACCATCGAACCCTAGAAAATTCAGATCGTACAATTGAAACTTGAAGAAATGGCGAATCGAACTGAAGATCGGTTTGAGGAGCAACAAAGAGAGGATCGAGAAGTGCAAAGTTATGGCGGCGGTTATAATCATCCGCTGTTTCTTCATCCATCTGATACGACATCTCTGATGATTGTGTCGACGAAGCTCACAGATGTCAACTACATTTCTTGGAGTCATGCGATTCGAAGATCATTGGGAACAAGGAATAAGCTCGGTTTCATTACCGGAGAGGTGGCGAAGCCAGCGATTGGAAATCCAGATCGAGAACAATGGAATCGTGTCAATGATATGGTAATTGCTTGGATCTTGAATTCTATTTCTCCTGAAATTGTTGAAAACTATGATTTAGCTGTGAATGCCTGTGAATTGTGGGAAGAACTTAAGGAAAGTTACGGAACTAGGAATGGACCCCAGATTTATAATCTGCATAGAGAAGTGACCACTATTAGTCAAGGAAATCTGAGTCTAGCAGCATATTACTCTAAATTGAAAAGGTTATGGGATGAACTTCAGTATGTTGATCCACCGGATGAATGTGTTTGTAACGGATGTAATTGTAGGCTGACCAGAAATGATAGCCGAGAGAATAGGCACAAGTTGATGGAATTTTTAAGTAGTTTGAATGATAGCTTTAATGCAGAAAGAAGTCAAGTTTTGATGATGGATCCTCTGCCGGAGGTTAAAAAGGCATACTCTATGATATTAAATGTTGAGAAACAACAGATGGTGAAACGACATTTTGGAGATAACATTGAGTAAAGTGCTATGATGGTACAGAGAAGGAGTAATGTTTACAATACTCCTGGAAACACTTATAACACTGGAATGATGAATGGAAGTAATAGGATATCAATGAAGTCTACTGTTACAGGAACTAACACAGGGAAGGTTGTGAGTTCTTTTGGCAAAGAGAATGACTGGAGAAAGGAAAAGGCAGCAAGGAAATTACTGAAATGTGATCATTGTCAGATGCCTGGACACATTAAGAGTGAATGCTTCCAGTTGGTGGGGTATCCTGATTGGTGGGAGAGTTACAAAGAAACAAGAAGGTCTTTGAATATTAGGAATTCAGCAAATGCAGTGGATGCCACTACAGAATTTGATAAAGTACAAGGAATCAATCAGACAGATGAGATGATGGTGATGATGAACAACTTGATGAAAATGATGAAAGGAAAGCTGCCAGCATCAGAAGGAGAACATGCTAATTTTGCTCATTATCACGACTTCTCAGGTATGACCACTTATGCAGCATTGAGTACTATAAGTTTGATTGAGAATAAGTATTTTTGGTTATGGTTTCTTGATACTGGGGCTACAGGGCATATGGTGGCTTTTTTGAAATTGTTAAGTAGTTTTATTGCTGTGACTAAGTATACATCAGTATTGTTACCGGATGGAAGTGTTAAGAATGTAGAGCATATAGGTCCTCCACAACTTTTTGATAGGTTAAAGATTTCAGGATGCTTACACATACCAACCTTCAAGTATAACCTTCTTTCTGTGAATAAGCTGGCCACTGATTCCCATATTGATTGCTATTTTTCCTCTCATTTCTGCTTGTTGCAGGACCAGGAGACTAAACAACTCATAGCAGTTGGAAAGGTCCTCAACAAGCTTTATTACCTAGACAAAAACTCCTTTTCATCAGAGGTCATTTCAGAGTTTATTCACAGTCATATCTTCCAGCCTTTTGTGATTCAGCCAAAGATCGATCATGTTTTTTCCTCTAAACTAGTTTCAGACAATAGTAATGTACTCTGGCATCACAGGCTTGGTCATGTACCAGATGCAGTAGTTTCTAGACTAGGACTGTTAACTAGAAACTCAGAGAATAATCCTTGTAATGTTTGTCCTCTTGCTAAACAGCAGAGGTTGAAATTTCCTGTAAAGACTATACAGTCATCTAGAATTCTTGAGCTAATACATGTAGATATTCGAGGTCCCTATAAACACAAATCTCTGAATGGTGCATTTTATTTTCTTACTTTGGTTGATGATTTTAGCCGTTCCACATGGACTTATTTGATGCAATCCAAACAGCAAACTGTTATTCTTTCTGCTTCCTAAAACTAGTCATTAATCAGTTTGATCAAACTGTGAAAATTCTCAGATCTGACAATGGCTCAGAATTCACTGGCCAAGAATGTCAACTCTTACTTGCTGATTTAGGTGTTTTGCATAAAAAATCAGCTCCATATACTCCTCAACAGAATGGCATTTGTAGAGAGAAAACATAAACATCTATTACAAATTGCCAGATCCTTGCTTTTTCAATCTGGCTTACCTATTCAGTTTTGGGGTGATGCCATTCTTACAACAACTTACCTCATTAATTGTTTACCGTCTGCTTTGCTTGACTGGAAAACTCCATATGAAATCCTACATAATAAACCCCCTACTTTTGATCATCTCCGAGTTTTTGGTTGTCTTACACATCCAACCAATATATTCCCTCACAAAGATAAATTCTCTCCTAGAGCCGTCAAATCTGTCTTTATTGGCTATCCAATGGGACAAAAAGCTTACAAGTCATATGATTTAGAGTCACACAAGGTCATTGTTTCCCGAGATGTAGTCTTTCATGAGACTATGTTTCCATATATTAAGCCTACCGATTCCTTACTTCAGCCTGATTCTACTTTTTCTCCTTTCTCTTACTGCGATGATTGGTCTGCTTCATCTCCTTCCTTATCTCAGCACATTCCTACACTTATTCCTGATCCTGTTTCTCCATCTTCCTCACCTACTACTACTCATACTCCTTCTTCTGATCTCATTACACAACAACCTGTCTTGCCTTCTAGACAATCAGAGGTTATCAATCCTCCCATTTTAAGAAGGAGTTCCCGAATTTCTAAGGTACCTTCTAAGTTTGATGATTTTATCACTTACAAAGCATGTTTAGTTTAGAACTCTTCTTCCGATACATCTTCCCGAGTTTCCTCTTCTCTTTCATCCTCTTCAGTTCACTTTTCTGATAAGCATCTTGCGTTTTTAACCAATATAGAAAAAATTGTAGAACCTAAGACTTATGCTCAAGCCTGTCAAGATCCAACATGGGTTGCTGCTATGCAGGCTGAGCTTGATGCTCTAGAAAAGAACAAGACTTGGATCATGACTGATCTTCCTATAGGCAAGAAAGCTATAGGCGGTAAGTGGTTTTCAAGGTGAAATATCACCCTGATGGGACTGTGGATCGATATAAAGCACGATTAGTTGCAAAGGGTTATAATCAGATTGAAGGGGAAGACTATTATGATAGTTTTTCTCCTGTTGCAAAAGTTGTCACAGTTAGACTCTTGTTAGCTATTGCTGCTGCTTCTCATTGGAATCTGCATCAGTTAGACATCAACAATGCCTTGCTACACGCCAATCTTGATGAAGAAGTTTTTATGATTCCCCCGGCTGGTTATTCTTCTAGTTCTGATACTAAGGTTTGCCGGTTACGCAAATCTCTGTATGGTTTAAAACAGGCATCACGACAATGGAACTTAGAATCCTTGCTTGTTTACCGGAAAGGTTCGTGGTCACTTTACGGCATTAGTTGTGTATGTTGATGATATTCTGCTTACTGGCACTA